AATGAACAGTAGTTTCCTCCATAATCTTGACGCCGTCTGATTTTTTCGGACAGCATGGATTAAAGACTGTCACGGACACAACATGTCCGTGGCGGTCGGTCACGGACATAGCATGTCTGTGACGGGATTTTTTTCACTCAAATTTGATGCAAAAATTATACAGGGACCGTCACGGCCTCCGTAGGTTTGTGATGGTGTTTAGGCAAAATCGCCACAGACATAGCATGTTTGTGTCGGGGGCGAAACACTGTAGCTCTTCACCTATAGGCGTTTTTTATTATAACGCCTCTTGTAGTTGTAACTTGGAATTTATATGGCCATATTTGATTATAATATTTGATCTCCAAATGGAACTCTACTCAAAATCTGGACGATCCTATGTTTGGGATAGAATAGGAAAAGAGCCATGTTTGCCTTTGTTTGATGTCGGAATCTGAAACATGGAAAGGAACTTGTTCCCTATAAATTGTAAATCGGACTTTAAAATTCGAATTTCTTTCAATCTATAAGCCCCAATTTTTTGTAACTCACAAGTATATCTTCTGTAATTGTACAGGTTTATAAGCCCAATTTTTTGTATAGGGTCTCTTGACCTATTTTTTGACCGAGAGACCCGACTTGTGGGTACTCTCGGACTCCTCTTCTGTACTCTAACACTCTACAGCAATACAAAAGTTAACTTTCTCTCAGAAACAATTTCGAATTTCTTTCATGGAAATGATGAGTTTGAGATGTTCAAAGATAATATTTATTGGTATTTAGCCAGATTGGTGTCGCAGAAATCTATCATATAATTACTGATTCAATGAATAACGGGGAAGCTGTTTGAGTAACCTTGACTCCTCTTGATCTTTGTAAAATCTTTGAAGCCGCTATTCTCTCAAATGCTTTGAACATGCAGTCTAATATTAACTTAGTAAGTCTTTGAGAAATCACAATGCACTGGAAAACAGAGAATATGGGATGTGAGATTTCCCATCTTACCCTCCCATCATATTTCAGAAGCCTGGAGATTCGCAATTATATTCGCTAATATGTTATTTGGAAGTTGGGTCTTTCTCTGTGGCATTTTACCAAGTCTTCATCTCTTTTTGCTATAGACAATTTACTGCTTACTGAGGATCAGAAAACATTGAAGCTTGTCGATTTTGGGCTTGCAAGGGAAGAGTCTGTGACTGAGATGATGACTGCGGAAACTGGAACTTACCGTTGGATGGCACCTGAGGTTTGGCTCCTATTTCATTATTTTTCATGCAATTTTCTTTCTAAATAAACTACTTTTGTTTCAGTTGATTTGACCCTTGGATAAAAATTTTCCAAAATTGTACTAGAATTTATTTTTAAAAAAAAGAGAGAAAAGGCCAAAATCAACTATTTTTTCTATAAAAAAAGCTGAAATGAGCTCTAATTTCAAGTGCTGACAAGGTAGAGCCAAAAGGCCATGTTGTCCATGTTTCTTATTCTAAAAGAGAAGCACGAATACTATACTCCCCAAGGGAATATAGTTTACTTTAACTCCCTCAGTCAGATGAACTACTTGGGGAAGTTTTTCAATCTGAAATTTTGGTAACCACCTGAATCACTAGATGATTATTCTCAGAAAAAAAAAAAATGGAAATTTGAGTTTTCTAACACTTAGATCTCACCTTCTAAAAATTGGATGGTTTAGACATTATCATTTTGAGTGTTTAGAGGGTGCAATTAGGATTGTTTTTTATTGAGGTTAATTTTTGTGTTAAAGAGGTTATATCCCTAAAATTTGGGGTCCTAAAACTAATCCTAGGTGGGGTTTTACCTGCAGTAGTAAGTGGATAGTAATACTCCCTTTTGGGCCTAAAACAATAGGGTACTAGCATTTCTCACAGGACATGGAAATGCAATGATCTTCTATTTTTGTGACATTAACTGAAGGGATAATGTAGTCCAATGGACCATGTATGTGGTGCCACTTTCTATGTCCACCATCCATTCCCAGTTATGCGTGGTGGAGTATCACTGTCACCTGGTGAATGTCTATGTGGGCCCTCCTGTTACGCTCCAACCATATTTTGGTGTGAATGTGTGGTGGATGTTGCCTAGGAGTATCATCTACTATAGTCCATTGGACTATTTTTCTCTTTTTCTCAACCAATTACTCCCATATATGTTCACGGTGTTACTGGCTTGAGCATATAAGTATTCAGATGCTCTCTATCTCTCTCTGTTGATTTTTTGGCATGCAATTCAGTTATATAGTACAGTGACGTTGCGCCATGGGGAGAAGAAACACTATAATAACAAGGTGGATGTTTATAGCTTTGGGATCGTTTTGTGGGAACTGTTGACGAATCGCTTGCCATTTGAGGGCATGACCAACTTGCAAGCTGCATATGCTGCTGCTTTTAAGGTACATTTGTTTTGGGCTTTCTTACACCACCATCTTTAGTCTTGGCTAAGTGTACCAAAATCCAGTGGCCGATGGGCCGATGGAGAACCATAGTCCATTTGGAGCATCACATCCACTAAAGTGATCGACAGTGATGGAGTTGGGACCCACCATTTGGTTAATGTCCTGTTCACCATATCATCACTTTTCATTTCAGTGAAGGGTGTTGACCCCAATGAATGATGGTTTTAAACTTTTATGGATTATGGTTTTCTTTTCCTATCTATTGTGTGGTAATCTGCTCTCTCTCTCTCTCTCTCTCTCTCTCTCTCTCTCTCTCTCTACTACTACTACTACTACTACTACTACTACTACGTACGTACGTACGTACGTACGTATACTAGTATACGTACTTACTACTACTACGTACGTACTAC